CCGCCAGGAGGACGGCGATTCTGCTAGTGGTGAATTAAATTGGACGGCTAATCTTCAGGTGGAAGTTGTGTAGAAAAGCCCTAGAACCTCTGCTTACCCCCAACAAATCGTGGATCCTCCCAAAAATGTATTCCTCTTCCTCTTACTGTTTCACCAAATGTTTGTATAATTGAACTGTCTATGTACACTGTTTATAAACACCTACAGTATCTGTATGTTTTTTTTGTTTTTTTACCTAAATTGACAAAACACATTTTTTTTTTATACATGAGCTGTCTATAAACATTCTTGTACACTCGCCACAAGAAGTTCTCGCGCGCTCACGGCGCTCACGGCTAACACACTAAGACAAGACGAACGAGAAATCTCAACATTGCTCTCTGGGGAAAGTTTAGTGGAAATTAAATTACTTTTTTCCACCTGTAAATATTATAAAGACGAGCAACATATATTAGAACGAAATATTGAGAGTCCCTTCAGAAGCAGACATACCAACTATAGACAAACAGACAGACACACCGACAGACAGACAGACAGATAGACAGACAGACAGACAGTAGGAAGATCACGAAATACAGACAGACAGACAGGAGTAAGATCACGGAAGCCTGTAGGAAGATCACTATAAAGCACTGTACATGAACACTATAATACCCACAGTACACTATATCTTCACTATAAAGCACTGTGCATTAACACTATAATACCCACAGTACACTATATCTTCACAATAAAGCACTGTACATTAACACTATAATACCCACAGTACACTATATCTTCACTATAAAACACTGTACATGAACACTATAATACTCACCGTACACTATATCTTCACTATAAAGCACTGTACATGAACACTATAATACCCACAGTACACTATATCTTCACTATAAAGCACTGTACATTAACACTATAATACCCACAGTACACTATATCTTCACAATAAAGCACTGTGCATTAACACTATAATACCCACAGTACACTATATCTTCACTATAAAACACTGTACATTAACACTATAATACCCACAGTGCACTATATCTTCACTATAAAGCACTGTACATTAACACTATAATATCCACAGTACACTATATCTTCACTATAAAACACTGTACATTAACACTATAATACCCACAGTACACTATATCTTCACATAAAGCACTGTACATTAACACTATAATACCCACAGTACACTATATCTTCACTATAAAACACTGTACATTAACACTATAATACCCACAGTGCACTATATCTTCACTATAAAGCACTGTACATTAACACTATAATATCCACAGTACACTATATCTTCACTATAAAGCACTGTACATTAACACTATAATACCCACAGTGCACTATATCTTCACTATAAAGCACTGTACATTAACACTATAATATCCACAGTACACTATATCTTCACTATAAAGCACTGTACATTAACACTATAATACCCACAGTACACTATATCTTCACTATAAAGCACTGTACATTAACACTATAATACCCACAGTGCACTATATCTTCACTATAAAGCACTGTACATTAACACTATAATACCCACAGTGCACTATAACTTCACTATAAAACACTGTACATTAACACTATAACACCCACAGTGCACTATATCTTCACTATAAAGCACTGTACATTAACACTATAATACCCACAGTGCACTATATCTTCACTATAAAACACTGTACATTAACACTATAATACCCACAGTGCACTATATCTTCACTATAAAACACTGTGCATTAACACTATAATACCCACAGTGCACTATATCTTCACTATAAAACACTGTACATTAACACTATAATACCCACCGTACACTATATCTTCACTATAAAGCACTGTACATTAACACTATAATACTCACCGTACACTATATCTTCACTATAAAGCACTGTACATTAACACTATAATACCCACCGTACACAACAGCCCTCTGAACTCATTACCTCTTACTACAAAAAGACGTCAAGCCATTGGATAGTTTGCACCGCACTGATGTGTAGTATTACCGAAGAGGAAAAAAAACAAAAATGAAAAGTAATCAAGTCGAAAAGTTTAGGAGTTGGGCCTCTGAACATGGGGTAAAACTCCTTAGTTCGCAACAGTTGAAAAAATTGAAAAAAAATAATAAAAGTCGCCGTCTTGGGTCAGGGACCTTCGGGTCCTGCATCCTTCTCTCTCGCCCAGGAAAAAAGTCTAATTTTGTTCTAAAGCAATTCAAGGACACTGAATCCCTCGTACTCGAAGTTAAGGCCTTGAAAACCAACCAGGATTCGGGGATTCAAAAACTAATATCAGTTTGTCTCAGTGAGCGAGCTGTGATCAGTGACTTTGGAGGACAGACTGTTAGAAAATATATGGAGAGTGACCAATTTTCTCTGAAAAACTCCGTTAAAATTAATCTAAATCTACTGAAAATTCTGCGTGGTACGCTTAAACGCAAACAATGTCATAATGACATAAAAAAGGACAACGTTTGCGTCCAAATAAAAAAAGAACAGCCTTGTGTTACATTAATTGACTTCGGTTGGTGCACTCCAGTCAACGAAGTAGTGTACAATGACGACGGGCCAATGCATAACCACGAACAGTACTGGCTGGCCCCAGAGTTAGTCCGGGCAGGGAAATGCTCAGAGGCATCAGAAGTTTATAGCATGGGATCCCTAGCCAAACAAATCCTCCCTCCCGACTCAAAATACCCTTGGGAACTGCATAACTGGGTTTACGAGAGCCAGCACTATCATCCTTATCACCGACCAACACTACAAGAAGGGATCGAAGCTTGCCGTGACGCTCTTGTGGCCTTACAAGACTGAAAAGTGTAGATAGAGACTTTCCTCCTAACTTGTATATTATTTATGTAAACTAATTAATAAATGTTTTGAATCTTATGTAGTCTTTAGAAATTACCTTAAGAATAGACACACTGTTAACGTCTTCTGTACACACACACACACACATAGAGGTATTGTAGATGATAGGCTGTGTGCTGTAAGGTAGTTCATATACCTGGATTACTGAACACTAACCTTAGGTAGACAACTTGAAGACTCCACTGCTGCCTTCATCAATCAACAGGAGAGAGTGAGGTTAGCTATAATAACTGCTAATCTATTATGTTGAATTGCAGAACAATAGAGATAATGTAAGAAATTTAGTTAGGGAGTTATATATATGTTGCATTTAATTTAGGTTATACACTTATACTTAGTTAAAGTGATATTTAATAGTTACCTGAACTGCAAGTAATTACTCCTGATTTAAACAATAGACTTGCGCGAGTCTATATTCTTTTGTCTGCGCGTGCATCATGCCAGCTACCGTTGAATGCCAACTTATACCTGCTACTGCCATGATGCTACAGTCAGTTCCTTGACAATTGTGACCAGAGAAACACAATATTCACCACCTTCAGTGAAAACCAGCGATCAGGGAGGGGCTCACCAACTAAGCTTCACCATTAATTCCTGACCTCAATTCACATCAGCAAACCTTGAGTAGCAATTTATATTGTAAGATATCCTAACTTTATACTTTGTACATAGCTTGATGTAATGATGGAATATAAATTCTTGTCTGATATCAACCAATTCAGGACATAAGTTTAACTTACGTTAGTAATAACTATATTTATAATGTGCATTGTCATCCAGCATGAGTTTTCGACGAAATAAGAAATATTATAAAATCATTGTATTTTGGCACCCTTGCGCCCACACATACAGACCGATCTGGACGGAAGCAAATGATAAGTCAAGTAAGTCACCCAAAAGCTTGCTGCTGTAGGGAAAGTATTTGGTAAGGTCTAAAGTTTTGTTGGTCTACTGATAAAAAAAATAAATCACAAATTCATAAAACAACGATGTTAATAGATCCCGGAGATTCAGTTTTAGTTATAAGTTCCAAGTTTCAACAAGGGCTCTTATACTACTGCAACAGAGGAGCACCAGCTGAAAAATGCAATTTAAAAATTTCTTTAGTTTATCCTCATTTTTGAAGAGTGTTCACGAGTAATTAAAGAAAACGGTTTTGTTGAACAACGGAAACCCTTGTAAAATGTAAAATTATATATCAGGAGAAAGTATTAGATTTGTTCATTCATATATCTTTCTTATCTGTACATTTATCTATTTATCTCTCATCATTCACATTTCTTCTCTTATTTAACGCTATCACAGTTCATCACTCTCTTACTTTATAACTGCTAACTACACCATTAGGCAGTTACACTATTATTAACAATTAAAGATAATCAGTAACGTAAACAAATAAGAAAACGCGATGGGCTCTGGAAACTGTAGACTGCTGGCGCCAGGACTGAGTGAGATCTGTGTTGTTAGTTAAGTGGGGCGACAAGGTGTGGAGCGGTCTCAACTCACTTCACCTATGATTTCGCTCGGATTTTAAGAACTTTGATTCAATAGGATTATTTTTTTCCGTTTCATTCTAGTGATGAAATTTTATCAAATGGAAAATTATCTTATGGGATATAATACCTGTAGTGTGATTTTGTCCGTGTCGTCAACAACGTGTTCCCGGGAAGTTTACTTTGCATGACGAGAGGAACTTCATGAACGAGGCTGTATGTAAGGTAAGTTAAACGTATCGTCTTATTTGACTGTTTAAAAAAGCTGTAATCGGTTGTTGTTGTTGTTTATACCCAACAACTTGCTGCTAATATTTGGTTAAATGTCAAGTTTTGTGGATCTACTGATTAAAAAAAAAATAATAATAAATTCACATACAAACAAAGTGTGTTAACAAATCCCAGATCACGACAACTGAATCCCTTTTCATTAACCTGTTCATCAGAGTTGAGAGATGCAAGTAGCAACACCTTCCCACCTTTCGATCTCTTATTGTCCTCAGGTTATCAGCTTTATTTATAGCCCTCGTACCTTGACACACGAGATAAGATTATACACTATCTTTCCACACACACACACACACACACACGCACACACACACACACACGCACACACACACTCAGTACAGTCTCTACCATACACGAGTGGTGAGAAGCTTGTCATCTCTCTCAAACGTATTTTTTTTATTTTTTTTAGAATATCTAACAAATTAGAGACAGGGTTTGGTGATTCTAAGTAATTATCAAATTATAGGTGTTAAGTTTAATTAAAGTCTCTCACTAAGTTTGAACATTTTTAGTGTCTTGAGACGAGGTGACCGAACATTGAAGTTCTCTTCCTGTAACATCAGAGATACTTAGTGTTCAGGAGTGACTTTAGAGGATAAACAATATTGTAAAACTCCATCTCCATTTCTGCTGTTCAGGTAAGATAAGAAGATGTATATAATTAACAACTTTGAAGGTAATTTGTATTGTCTATGGAAGGGACGGGAGGTAAAACTGCGTTGGCAATTATATGGAAAGTGAGACGTCTTAATTATATATAGAGAAAGTAAAATTATGAAATTATATAAAGAATGTACTGGTGATAAGACTGCTGGAGGTTGTGTTGTTGACGTCGTCATTAGAGTGCAGCCTCGGTAGCGTCATCATTAACGTACAACCTCGGTGACGCCATCATTAAAATGGTTCTCTCAGTTCGTTACAGTAATTCAGTTTGGTTATAATTCTGTTATCAATATATGAATTACCTAAATCTGTAAAAAAAAGAAAGAAGATAAATGAGGTTGGTGATGAAGATTGAACATACAAAAGATTGTGATTATTTTAAAATGAACATAAAAATCTTCACCCAACATGAGAATCAACACACGAGAAGGACGAAAAATTATGAGAAAAAAAAATCCCCCGACTCAGAATTAAGACAAAATTTTACAATAAACTCACAACAAGCAGAATAATAACCAAGTAATGTACAACCTTTAACACCATAAGCCATAACCTGAACCAACTACATCAATAACACGACTGTCACAACAAAAAAACAACAACAATAATAACAACACCAAAACACGTTGATAGTGTCTGTCTGCCTGTGTGTATAAGATGAGATATAACCCTTTAGTGGGAAAAAAATAGTTAACCCTTTGATGAATGATGATTTAACCCTTTGAAGACAATAGTTGAACCCTTTCGGCCTCAAAACGGGCTAAGAATGAAGAAAAAATATCTATGACAATTCACGAAGCACTCGCTCATTATTTATAACCTGTGTATATATTCCTTATTACAGGTAGAAGACAGAAGAAATTTTAACAAGATCAACATTAAACAAAAAAATATAGATATACCCTGATTGTTTCGCTATGTTAAAAAAATTTCTGCTTTCTATCAGTAATAAAGAATGATTATTTTTTTTATTATAACGAAGCAATAAGGAAAACCTGCAGTCTTTTTTTTATAATGCTCGTCCTGATTTAAGTCTTATGACAGGTAATCACTACTGAGGTGACTATCACACGATGTCACATGAGTCAGGCAGCTCCCACGAGTTTCGGATAAGTACTGTGACTGGGGGTCCACACACACATTATACACACCTATTGGTGATATTTCAGGCTAAAGACGAACACAAAATTGATCTTAGATAATACAACTATGACTAAAACCTAACATAACCTAATCTAACCTAATTTAACATAACCTAACGCTGTGTGTCTTCTGGGCAGGTCTACTGTACGGTAGAGTGAAGCAAGGATCCGCCACACTTGTCTACGCCGCATTATGCACGACGCGTCATCAGCAACAAATGGTGAAGGTATAATATATAAATTTCCTATTTGTTTTTTGTCTTTATTTGCTTGTTTCGTGCTGGAAAAGTCGAAGGTAAACTTTAGATAGAGTGGTAAGAAATAATGTTTGAATGTAAAGAAACGGAGAGATAGAGGGGTAAAAAATACAGAAAAGAGAAAGACAGGGAGAGACCTGATATAACCTAACCTAACCCCTGAGGTAGCTTTAGGGTGTTTAATCTTCACGTGATACTATTTTACTTTTACAAACATTTACGAAAGAGGTATTATGAGTTTGTGTTATACTCTCCTATTTATTTATTTTTTTCAGGTCGTCGAAAGAGGAGCGTGTGGCGTCACCTCCTGTTGCTGCTATGGAAAAACTTGATACTGAGGCGCAGACACTGGCTTCTGACTTTCTTCGAGATCTTCCTCCCTACCGCCCTGTTCTCTATCATCCTGTTTATCAGACTAATCCCGGGATCCATCTTCATCCCTAAATACATCAACACCGTGAGTTAGTAGGATAAGTGTGGTAGAAACAACAGCGTCAGTAGAGTTAGTGTGGTAGGTACATATCGTCAGGAGGGTTAGTGTGGTAGGTACAACATCGTCAGCAGGGTTAGTGTGGTAGGTACATCATCGTCAGGAGGGTTAGTGTGGTAGGTACATCATCGTCAGGAGGGTTAGTGTGGTAGGTACAAAATCGTCAGGAGGGTTAGTGTGGTAGGTACATCATCGTCAGGAGGGTTAGTGTGGTAGGTACAAAATCGTCAGGAGGGTTAGTGTGGTAGGTACATCATCGTCAGGAGGGTTAGTGTGGTAGGTACATCATCGTCAGGAGGGTTAGTGTGTAGGTATATCATCGTCAGGAGGGTTAGTGTGGTAGGTACATCATCGTGTGGAGGGTTAGTGTAGGTACATCATCGGGAGGGTTAGTGTGGTAGGTATGTGGGTCATCATCGTCAGGGAGGGTTAGTGTGGTAGGTACATACATCGTTGTGGCAGGGTAGTGGTTAGTGTGGTAGGTACATATCGTCAGGAGGGTTAGTGTGGTATGTCAGTACAACATAGCGTGCTAGGTACATCATTGTCAGGAGGGTTAGTGTGGTAGGTACATCATCGTCAGGAGGGTTAGTGTGGTAGGTATGTCATGTCAGAGGGTTAGTGTGGTAGGTAATCATCGTCAGGAGGGTTAGCAGGGGAGGGTTAGTGTGGTAGGTGCTCATCACAGGAGGGTTAGTGTGGTGGTGGCTATCATCGTGTGTGGTATCGGAGGGTTAGTGTGCAGGTCGTCAGGAGGTTAGTGGTAGGTACATATCGTCAGGAGGGTTAGTGTGGTAGGTACTCATCAAGTCATTCAACAGGTACATCATCGTCAGGAGGGTTAAAAAGTTAGGTACATATCGTCAGGAGAGTTAGTGTGGGTACACACGTCAGGAGGGTTAGTGTGGTAGGTACATATCGTCAGGAGGGTTAGTGCGTAGGTACATATCGTCAGGAGGGTTAGTGTGGTAGGTACATCATCGTCAGGAGGGTTAGTGTGGTAGGTACATATCGTCAGGAGGGTTAGTGTGGTAGGTACATATCGTCAGGAGGGTTAGTGTGGTAGGTACAACATCGTCAGGAGGGTTAGTGTAGGTAGGTACATATCGTCAGGAGGGTTAGTGTGGTAGGTACATCATCGTCAGGAGGGTTAGTGTAGTAGGTACATATCGTCAGGAGGGTTAGTGTGGTAGGTACATCATCGTCAGGAGGGTTAGTGTGGTAGGTACATATCGTCAGGAGGGTTAGTGTGGTAGGTACATATCGTCAGGAGGGTTAGTGTGGTAGGTACAACATCGTCAGCAGATAACAGTTGTGGTATAATGATGAGAAACATAGCAGGGAAAATAATAACTGATATGATATCTATCTCTCTCTTGTCAAGG